GCTGAGCGCCCCTTCCCAGCAAGCCGGCCGCAGGTGGGCTTCCAGGAAGGGGCCCGGTCCCCCCACCTGGAAGAGGGCCAGGCATGGCACCAGGAGCAGTGGGGAGAGGTCCAGAGCAGGAGGAGAGGGGAAGGCAGGAGAGGAGGCAGGAAGGAGGGATGGGGCAGCCTGGGCCTCGGCCAGCGTGGTCAGCGAGGCCCGAGAGAAGGCCAGTGCTGGCCACACTCCTTCTAGAACCTTCGCTTTCCCCTTTGGGGACCTTGGCTCTCTGGGGCTCGTCAGGTAAAACCCACTCGTGGACCCTGCAAGCAAGGGGAGGCGAGAGATGGAGGAGACTGGCCTGAGCCTGGTTGGGGCTCAAACCCGAGGCTGAGGCCCTGGCCCCGTGTTGCTGAGGGGCCACAACCTAGGCCCCCTGGCCTCCCTTGGGGCTCAGACGCCCTGCAGCTCTCGGGGAGGGGAGCAGGGGTGGGGCGGGCCCTGGGCGCTGTGACTCTTGGGTGACTGCAGCCAGACCAGGCCTCGGTCAGGCCTGTGGACAGGATTTCATTTCCTTCGCATTGTTAGGCGTTTGCTGTCCCCGTGCAGCGGTGCAGCGGGGTCCCAATCCACCCGCCCCCACCTCCCCCTCCCCTGCCTGAAAGTGGGCCCCAGGGCCATTCAATCCAGGCCCAGATGTGAACCCACACAAGCACCAGGCCCACACGGCCAGGCTGATGTCCACCCTCCCGGGGACACTGGGCCCCCACGGGGCTGGGCCACACAAAAGTCAGCCGGCCCCACAGAGCACTCGCTCCCCAAGCAGACAGGACCCACGTCCGTGCCTTCCTTCCACGGGACGGGACCGCGGGTTAGAGACCCGAACAGAGACCCTCACACGTGGCCACAGCCACACGGCTGTGTACACCCCCCCCCCAGGGCACCAGGGCGTTAGGGCTGTGCACAGGCCACGGGGACACATAGACACACACATGGACACACAGGGAAACACGGGACACACGTGTGACTACACAGGGCCACACACACGAACACACAGGGCCACATATGACATGCACAGACACACATGTGGACACACCTTGGACGCACAGGGGCACACACATGGAGGCACATGTGAACACACAGACACAAGGACACACAGACACTGGTCCTGTGTTTGGAAAGCGGGCGGCCTGGGAGCTCAGCCTGGGGGGGTCCAGTGTGCACCTGGGCTTTGTGCTGGGGGCCCAGCGGGGAGAGCATGGCGCCCGGGCACTGCCCCCTCACCCATGTTC